CTGCCACTTCAATGGAAAATGTACGACTAGAAGGTAAATTTGATTATTTGATTTACAACTATTACTTGATTTTAATAATACATTCAATAGATCAACAGGTCCACCAACCATCACTTGATCCTCAACTAGCAGTAAAGGCTTTCAGGAAACAGTTTGGTACACTATCAAAATTGTTATCAGTGTCTTCTAATAGACTGGCAGTTGCTCCTGAATTATTTAGTGAAGGTCTCATCACATTTGATTGTTATAAGAATGCTACTGAAGGAAGCAGCAAGACAGAGGAAGAGAAGAGTACAGGTCTAATGATATCACTAATGTCTACAATCAGTACACAACCTGAATTACTAACTGAACTGATTAATGTATTAAACAGAATAGAACCATTTAAACTAATAGCAACTAAACTAGTTGAAGCTTCTTATCACTAACTTGCCTTTGAGTTTTATTATTATTATTATTATTATTGTTGTTGTTGTTGTTGTCATCAAGAGTACATTAATACTCTTGATTTTATTTTACTTTTTATTATAATTAATTTTGTTCAATTTGATACGTGGGCGTAGGGTTACTGAAATGGGTGGGGCTCATTTTGATTAAATTTAGAAAATGGCTGCAATTAATTAGTTGAAGCAGAGTACATCTCCAGGGTCCAGCCACCAGGAAGAAAAAAGGAAAGAAAGGAAGCAGGTATGTATTTACTGTATGTTTCAATGATAGGCTTTTGTACATAGTCTCAGGCCAATTTTCACCAAAAATTGCTAGGTGAGAATTCTCCATTTTTATTATTTTTATGATGCATATACATGTACTTATGTTGCTTAGAATCTTTGAACTTCTTCCGATTAAAATTGAATTTTTTATGATATTTTAAATTAGGCCAAAAACTATGGGCTAGAAATAGTACAGGGTTTGAGCCAAAATTAATTTCTTCAAAATTTAAAAGAAGATGATTCCCCCTTTTAGAATTTGCTCTGATACATATACATGTACTTATGTTGCATAAAAAGTTTAGGCTTATTTTGATCACAATTATATTTTTTACTAATATTTTAAGTTGTTCGAAAATTGTGCCAACGACCATGGGCTATAGTACAGGGTCTCTGGCCAATTTTTCCCATGAATGGCTAGGTGAGGATTCTCCTTTTTTATAATTTTTCTGATGCAAAACATGACTCATTAACGTGTTATCCCATTTGTTTATACAGCACTTCCGGTTATGACACTAGTGCATGCGTCATATTGAGATCAGAACATAAGAACAGGTACATGCACGAGCATGTATTCAAAATGGAGAATGCTCTCCTATAGTCATTTTTGAAGGAGAGTGGAGGGAGTAAAGAGAGGAGGATTATGAGTATGTTTGTTATTGTGTGTATAGGCTGATAGTCCTAAAGGTCCAGAAGGTTCTTCAGGTAGTAGGAATGGCTCTAATAAGCATCCAGCCCCTCCTCCTGATAGTGAAGATGATAAAAGTGACGATGAAGGAGGGCTAGTCGTTGATGAGGTACTTTATAAGTTTGTCTATTCATTCATAATGTACACATCCTCATTAATAGGATCCTTCTTCTCCTTCAACCACTCTAGCAGCTGCAATGGTAAAGGCTCTGGTAAACTGTATTACATGTACATATACTAAGAGTGTGTGTGTGTGTGTGTGTCATTTAAATGTTTTAATAGGAAGTTTATATTTATTAATTTACTAATTATTTTATTATTTAATAGGCACAGCAGCAGTCCAATTCAGATCTTCGTCCATCTTCAAAACGACCCTCGACTCCATCTTCAACAAAAAGTGACAAACCATCTTCTGTTCCTCCTAATCGTCCTAATTCAGTTGGTCCAATCACTGTTAATGGTCCTGGACCATCTAATGCTAGCTCTCCTAGTGGTGTACCTCCTAGACAACAGCATGTACCTTTAAGTAAGTATATACATGTACATGTATGGAGGGTTTCCCACAAAGCATGCTAAGTGAGCTAAACAGTATGCGTGATGTAGGTGGTATTGGAGGTTTATTGTGGGATGGTGGCATATCAGAAAGATAGAGCGGATCCTGATCTGGTTTGCATTGAAATTTTGATTGTAACAATTATCATAGTAATTATTTATAGGTAACCTTTACTGAAGATCAGAGGGCTGATTCTAAAGCTTTCTTTTCAATGGCTGACATTCATGTGAGGGAATCTTTATCTCAGGAAGATGCAGAAATGTTTAGAAGTGTTGTAAATGGATGTGTTCAGCGTTATAGCAAGAGGTGGACAGCAAAAAAGGTAAAAAATATGTAACAATTTTCATGTTAAATGTTGAGATTAGGTACTTGATGTACTCCATGATGACAATGAGATATAAACTAAAACTACTACTAGACTCTGCATATCATTTATTCATTATTTAGTATCATTTTACAACATGTATTTTCATTCAATCATAATTAATTCAACTCTATCTTATTTACAATAATACAAATATATATCTTCAATGTTACTATGTGTAATATCCTCTTGCTTCAACCCAAGTGATGACTCGAGAAGATTATCTACCACTTCCTTGAATGAGTTGGAATAAAAATCTGGCTTGGACACACTTTCATTTCTCATCGCATAAATCCATAAAGGAACATCAATTGGTTGAATATGATCTTGTGCTCCTGATGTAATAATAATAATCTAGATTATTATATACTAAATAAAGTGCATGTACCATACAAATGTGGCATTAGATAAAGATTTTGTGGAATTCCAGATGGTAAAGATGCTTTCCTGTTATGCCTTAATTTGTGTGAATTCCAATAATTTTTAAATTCTTCAAGTTCCCTAGTGATAATCCCAACAGTAGTATATGCTAAAGCAAACTTATGAAGAATAGATCCATCAAATAAGCCCCTCTCTTTCAATCTCTGTTGACAAATAAATTCATGCAATTCCTGATGAATAAATAATCATACTTTAAACTTGTCTATCCACCATGATGTCTTTCCTCTTCTTAACTGAGACCACCACCCTTCTATTTTCTAAAAAATCAGTGATGATATGTGACACATAGCCATTAAGCTATACCACATTTGACTTTGATGGTCCATAAATATATGCATGAGATCCAAGAAATGAATTGCTCTTCAAATGAAATGCAATCTGTAAGGAAGCTACAGTACAATTTTCCGTGCCATAATCAGATCACAGGAATTTGGGGACACCTATATAATTGAATTAAAAAAGTACAAGATGAGAGTAATATTTTACCAGCAACTTCTTCCAAGCATTCCAGATAAAACCTAGCTACGACTCTGGGATCATGATTTGTTGGTGATACTTTCAACCACATCATTTTTCTGGAAAATTTGTACTATAAACGTTGCAAGCAAATTATCATTTTTGCATACTAACCCATCAATACAGCCATGAATTGAAATCCCGTACGGGCTTAATTTATCGTACCCATCGATGTGCCACATAAAGTTGGGCCCCTTATACATTATTTAAACTAAATATCAATATTACTTGATGCTTACTTTGTTAGTGTAAATTCTTCTATTGAATCTCTTTTGAGATCTAAAAGATACACCTGCAGCATCAACTTCCCTCAATATTAGCATCACAACATCCCTGGTATAATGCTTACATTTTTGCTACTGTAAGTAAACACTAACCGTCTCACAATACAGTTGTATTTATCTCTTAAATGTTTCCAAACAGCTCTATACCCTTTAACTTGTTCAGAAGTTTCAAGAATTTTAATTATCAGTGCCTTAACAACAGAATAATTGGAATCAGAATGCCGCCTTCTTAGACCAAGTTTTTTTAATTTTAATTTCAACCATGTTAAACTATAAGAGACATGCATAGTGTTAAGTATTGAACTCTGCATAAATAATTGACCTTCTCTTAATACCACACCGTTCCTCTAGAACACTCAAGATATCTTTATAGGTGTCCACAAAAAAACTGCTCCCTAATAACACCTGTAAAATAGTAAAAATATAAAGAGATTACTCAGTGACTCACTTTCCTCGATGTTAGCCATTATAATTATCAAAACTCTTAAATGTTTCCAAACAGCTCTATACCCTTTAACTTTTCAGAAATTTCAAGAATTTTAATTATCAGTGCATTAACAACAGAATACCATAATTGGAATCAGACGCCAGGAAATTATCTTACCCGCCCGGAAATTGTGTTACCCGGACGGGGAAAGTAGCCATGTATGGGTTTCGGGTCCGTTGACGGGGTGACCTTCTCGGCCACCATAGAAACTTCCTGCCACCTGTTCCAGCGGCTCTCAATATCTATGGTAGCATTGTGGAGAGGCAACGCTGCTATGTGGGCCACACGCAGAGCTCCCCTCCCATCTGTTGTTGACAGTCTTTTCTGATTAGGAACTTGGTTTTTCTTCTAGTGGTGTTTTGTGTTTGTAGGTTTTTTTTGGTTTTTTCTTTTTGTCTGACAATAATAATAATAATAATAATAATAATAATAATAATAATAAAACTTGAATTCTTTTGATTGTAATATCTTGTATTATTATACCTGAGGGTTAGTTTGTGAGTACATTTCTTGTAAGTACTAGCTCAAGTACCTTTTATCATAATCACCAAGAGAGTACCAACTACCAATTATTATTAATTGGACTCACCCGCACTAACTCACTAAAAAGAATATATTCCAATGCATTCAATAGCAGGACCATCACCTCATCAGCAAGCAAAGAAGACATGTTTTAACCTGATGTATTCCTTGACACACAACCAACTAATAATTACTGTACTTATTGTTATAATGTTGGCAGTGATTGGATTTAATTTACAAGGTAATATGGGTGTGGGTGATTAGAGTAATGAATATTGTTATTATGGGTGTGGCTGGTTAATTAACATTCTTCACAAACAATGTCGAAAGGTGAGTTTCTGTTTTCTTCTCGGTTTTCTTCCTCTTCTTTCTCATCATGTTTGTATTTTACAGGTATCTATCAACTGGGAGGAATATCTCTACACTCAGGTCCTGTAGTAGGAGAATCAGTGTTCCTGTGGGGAGGGGATAGGCCTGACTTACCTAGAGTTCATGATTCCCCACAAAAGAGGAAATCATTGTCCACCATTGATAGACTGGAGTTTAAGACTGGTCGTTGGTTCTCTCACGTGACCAGAGGAACGTCACCTCCTCTAGGACCTGCAGGATACTTTTGTACTACCAGAAATAATGACATATTCTTTTTTGGTGGCTACTGTGGACATGACATCTGCCATCATAATGACGTCAACTCATTTAACAGTCTAACATATGAATGGAGTAATATAATACCAACCAGTGATGCTGTAATGAAGAGAGGGTTTGGTGGTATGGTGTGTATGGAATCTATGGGTACAGAATACCTATTTATGATAGGAGGGACTGGTTCTACACCCACTACATACCAATCACAGTATCAGTATA